CACCACCGCCCCCCAAAATCCATCAGGTTCAACCAAATATAAGCCAGGCCACTGCCACTTCCTCATTGCCACCACCTCCTCCTCCTGTGCCTGCCCCACCACCACCCCAGGCACCTCCAAAGCCTGTCATGACAGCTCTCCTCCCACAGCCTAGTGGGAAGGCAGTGTCACCAGGGGTCACACATGTCACCCCCCCTGTGCCAGCTCCCTTGCCCCTTGCAGTAAAAAAACAACCAAGTGTCACCTCTCCCCAGGTGCCTCCACTGCCCCCAGCCCTTCCTGGCCCCACTCCCCCCCCAACATTTCCAAAGCAGCAGAGTTTCTCTGTGAAACCTCCTTCATCCCCTCAGTCCCCAGTGCCATCAGTGGTGAAACAGATAGTTAGCCAGTTCCCACCTCCTCCTACCCTACCTGCCACTGAGCCCCAGCCTCTGAAGCCCCTTCCACTGAGCGTGGCTCCACAGTCGCCTCCAGCAGTGAAGGCAAAGCCCAAATGGCAGCCCACTTCTGCTCCCTCACCAGATTTTCCCCCTCCTCCACCAGAGAGCAGTTTAGTGTTTCCTCCTCCACCCCCTTCCCCAGCTTCCTCTGCAGGTTCTCCCCCCCCTGACAAATCAGGGTCTCCAGTCAAAAAGACCAGCAAGACATCAAGCCCTGGAGGGAAAAAACCACCTCCAACACCTCAGCGAAACTCCAGCATCAAGTCCACCAGCTCCACCGAGTACCAGGAGTCCAAGAGACCTTCCGTGGACCGCCTTGTCAGCAAATTTGCACACCCACCAGAGCCGTCAGGTTCTCCTTCCAAGGAGTCATTGCCTCCAGCAGCCCCTCCAAAGCCAGGAAAGCTCAACCTTTCTGGGGTGAGCCTGCCCATTGTCCTTCCACAAGGAGGGATCCCGGCCAAGGCTGTTGCTCCAGGTGTGTCTGGGAAGGAACCTGTGGTCGAATTCCCTTCACCACCCTCTGATTCAGACTTCCCACCACCACCACCTGAAATAGATCTTCCTCTCCCACCAGTTGAGATCCCATCGGTGTTTTCAGGCAGCACCTCCCCAAAAGTCGCTGTTGTCAATCCCCAGCCTCAGGTATGGTCAAAACCATCTGCAAAAAAAGCCCCACCACCCACACGTCCCAAGCGGAATGACAGCACTCGACTGACGCAGGTGGAGGTCGCAGAGCCAGCAGGGTCAGTTGGTCTTCAAGTGCCCACTTCACCCAAGTCCAGCCTTAGTGTTCAGCCGGGATTCCTGGCAGACCTCAACCGGACACTGCAGCGGAAATCCATCACTCGGCACGGCTCCCTCTCCTCCGCACGGATGTCCAGAACAGAGCCCACAGCCACCATGGACGACATGGCCCTGCCTCCGCCTCCACCAGAGCTGCTGGCTGACCAGCAGAAGACAAACAGCTTTGGGGGCAGTCATATATCTGGCTATGCGACGTTACGGAGGGGGCCACCCCCGGCACCTCCCAAAAGGGATCAGAACACCAAGCTGTCACGGGACTGGTAGTCCCCAGGGGCCGGTGCCCTCTGTGACTTGTAGGATGCTCCGTGATTGGCCAACCAATGATCTTGCGCACTTGGAGAGAATATGGGGGTGTGGATGATAGCCCCATCAAAAGAGGTGATCTCAAACTGTAGCTAAGGCTAAATTCCTCTTCCATGGCTAGGCCAAAAAAGTTGGGGGCTTGAGGGTGTTGATATTTTACTGGGAAAAGTGGATAGAGAGTAATTGACTTATCCTTTCAATTTATTTTACCTTTCATATGGATTGGACCAAAACCCCATTTTCTTACTTTTTCTGCATTTAGGGGAGGGGGGAAGATAATGTTTTGTAGTGTCTGTCCATGTGAGACATGTTTGTGCATGTATTATAAGTCTAGGTATATAATATATTGTGATATATTTCGTCGCAATTATAGAAGATAACCAGAATGTTTTTGTAAAACCGTATTTATTGTTTCAGTCACTATATTATCCGGAGTTGGACTCTGTAACTAGTCAAATCTTACCACAAAGTTGAAGATGTAGGGGGCACTTTAAAGAAAAGAAGAAAACCAAGAAAACAAAAAAAACCCCCCAAAAAACCCACAAACCTCTTGGCAGTTTGTGGTGGCTAAGTGGTGCAGAGCTGAGGTGTTCTGCCAGGAACTGTACATTGTCCATTGATTGAAAAGTGCATATGCAACATACCAAAACATTCTGGTCATAATACTACTGAAAACGAGTATGTTCTGAGGAAGAAAATAGATTTTATATATAGTGGGCTGGAGTGAAATATATTTATACTATAAAGAGCCTCCCCCTCCCTTCCAAATAGTTTAAAAATATAAACTGCTAGTAATTATTTCAAAGTTCTTTGTCCATGCAGTAAGTAGGATAAATATATATATTATTCCAATCCATTATGCATTCTAACTTAATAGTAGGCTCAATCATTTGTTTGTATGGCTCGAGATGAATATACTTGTGTTAATCCCTTCTGAAAGCTGCCAGGACTCCTCCAATTGATGCTGACCCACAAGGCTGACCCACGCTGATACATCAGTTGTACGTATAATTCTTTCCGTGAATGAACAGGTAGGTTTCTTTAGAGAGTGCTATGTTCTCGCACAAACATACAAAGCATACAGTCTCACCTTGTCTGTGCCTGATAAGATGTATTATCTTTACAAAAACAAGTGTCTGGAAACATTTAAAGAAAGCATTGTTCGTAATTCATTGGAAACTGTCAGGAAACTTTCCCTTCTAGAAAGAGAGAAGGGAGTATAGTAATTTCAGGCCAAGCACAGTGGGAATTCCCTTTTTCTTTGACCCGCTAGAGACTGTGACCAATGCATAAACCTGTTAATTACAAAGTTGCACTTGTAGCAGTCAAGGGAGAAGACTGGGAAAAAAAAACAACCTTGAGAGGCAGTAACATTTGCCAATAATTTAATTTAAGGGCCCATATGAGTAGGAAATAGACTATTGTATTTGCTTGGATTTTTCTGATTCACAGTCAGTCACCAGATCAAGTACTAGAGTCCTTATTCTTGTACTTCAGTAGCTTGATTGTACAGTCTTACCCACGTATTTGGACATGGTGAAAAGGTAGTGTAGTTAGCGTAAGTGGTCTTATGTATCATGCATGTTCATGACAGAGTAGTGGTACACAACCTTTGCAAAGTAACTAAAATACTTGGACTGTACCTACCCCATCTTCAGTTGTTACAACTTCTCTTGTCACCACAGGATACTGTCAAGGCTCAGATGGCAAAAGACTTTACTGCTTGTTTGCGTTTTCTCCAAAAGTAAATTTAAAATGCTTTTCTTCCCCCAAAGAATTAAATAAAAGAAGTAGCTTGACCTGACAGTATCCTCAAGTGTGTAAAAAAGATGTAAACTAATCTCTCATTAGATCAATTCAGGCTGATAGATTTAAGAAATATTATGACAGTGACCCCATTCCTTTTTTTTATAAAGTGCTTTATTAAAAAAATCCATATAATAAATGTCTTTGTGAATAACATATGAATAGGAAAAAAAGCTTTGCTAGTTAGAGGGGAAAAATGACACATCTATAACTATATAGTTTTAAATAAGTGCATCATGAAATGAGAAAAAATAATGGTGCTGTCTCTGCTGACCTGTTTCATATGATTTTTTAAAAATCTGTTTCAGCACCTCTGGAAATTGTTTTAATATTTCAGATGATGAGTTTTTTTGAGCAATAAGAGTATATACCATTGTGTGCATTTTTAAAGCACTGCTATGGAAAGGCACTTTTTTGTATCTTTCAAATTGTTCACAGAGTTTTGTTTCTACTATTTTTGTGCTTATAAAGTGTCCTTAAAAGCATTTGCATTGTTGATTTTAAGCATGCTCAGTGTAGCTCTGAATAACTTCATGGGAAGGTTGTTAAGCTATACTGCAATTCATGGGTGCTGTAATTTTCAATATTGATCCTCCTGCTGCTTTGTACTGTATGCAGCTCCTGGCGCTTATACCCACCAGTGGAGCACAGATAGAGTTGTAACTCCACAGCTCTTACTGATGATAGGTAAGTGGACACATTCTCCTACTCCCTGTCAAGATGCATCTGAGCTGATGCAGCATGTGCTCCGAGATGAGAGCCAGCAGGGAATTCTGCTTGCCCCATCTGTTTTACCATTCCCCCACAACAGCTCCACTGGTGTGTGTCAGTTCCAGCCCTCTTTCTTTTGTTCATTCAGTGCGGGTACCTCTGGGCTTTGGACTCAGCAGAGCAACGTTTTGAGTGCAATTTCTTCAGAGGCATTTGGGCTTTATTCTCATTTTCTTGTGCCCAAGTTCATTTACCCGGTATCTCTCCCTAGACAATGAATCTGTGCTTACTATTGCAGGCTGCTACACAGCTTGCTGGGAGACAGAAGTTGAACTCTTAAGTTTGCAGCAAAAAGAATAAGCGTCAGCAAAGGTGGCACCCAGTATTCCTTCGTGATACAACTTACTTCCAAAGCCAATAGTGATACAGAAATATAGTGAGTGGCTGCAGCTTTCTCTCAACTGAGCGCTGAAATTTGACTACAGTGTGGTTCAGACAACCTGGTTGCCTTTTCAGCTTATGAGACCCCTCAGTGTAACTTGCTTTTCCAGTGTATTTACTGTTTTTGTGACAGTAAATATTTATGCCTTATTTGCAAGTAACTTATTTTTCCTGTGTGCACTGGTCTCATAATTGCACCATTATATTTATTTAAATCAGAAAACAAAAGGGCCAGATCTCAGACACACAGCAAGAAGCTTCCTGTTACAAACATGGGCTGTAATCCTTTTGGCACTACTAAAATGAGCATGTGAGAGCTGAGCTTTCATACTCCGGACACAAAGATGGCAGATGGTTTGATCCTAAAATACTAAGAGAGTACAGCTGCAGTTGTATTACATGATGAAGTGTATGGCCTTTGACATTTGTTAAGGTGGGTGTCAGGGAAAGCCGTGCTGCTGCAGGGACAGCTGAGAACATACCGCTGCAGTTGTTAATCTGTTCCAGATTTGGTCTTCATTTTGTCTGCCATGCAGCAGTAGCATCCACATCTGTGATTTCTCTGTGCCTGCAGCACAGGTTCAGAGAGCAGGGAGCTAATCTTCTCAGACACGTTCATGGTAATTCAGGGGTGGGGGGGTTGCTTTTGGAATGGAAAACTAGGCTCTTAATATCAGCACTTACCTTAGATGAGAAATTTTTTAAAAAAGAAAAGCAAAAAAAAGCCCCCCAAAATACTCCACAGGTGCTAAACAAACCATAGGTAATGTGTTTGAGGCGGATATGCCCCGGGGTTCTGTTCAGCTTTTCAAAAACCTGTGTAAGACACAAGTCTGACAATAAAATAATCCTGTTACTTTCTGTGGAAGAGGAAAGCTCCTGCTTTCCTCTGCAGTCGTTTCCTCCTGTGGCAAACCACTGCTTGCTCTGACTGGTGCACGACCTCAAAGCCAAAGAGCTCCCCTCCTGAACTTACTCTGCAGTTTCCTGCAGGGCAACAGTGACAGACTGATACAACAGGGGAACAAACTGGATCACTCTGGGTTCAGGTCTGATGAGAGAGGGAGCAGGTTTGGTTTTTTTTTTTTCAATGTGCATTTTAAGATGTACTGTTCTGGACTTGCACATGTAAAGGTTTTCTAATTTCTTCTGTCTGTGCCCTTAGGCAACCAGATAATTCAAATCATCTCAGAGATAAAATGTGGCCAGTTTTCCTCCAAGTTAAAATTATTTTTTACAGTGTTAAAGGAACCAAAAGTGACGTTTCAACAGCAGAAGGGCAAAAGTGACATTTTCTGCTTATTACAGAAAACTGCGTAGAACTAAATTGTTTTACTTCAGAGGTACCATTGCAGGTAAATTTGTTTCTTATTCAAAATAAGATCTTAGTAGGAGTGTTACTTCAAATACAGAGTCATGTTAAAATCAGTTGCACTCCAGGAAAGCAATATAAATTCCTGACAGAAGGTAATGAGGATGCAGCCAGAACACCTGCTTTGGGTTTGAGGGTTTTTTTCCTTTTTTTTTTTTTTTCTTCTCTTTATTTTCTTCATTGTTAAGGCTTTGTTTAAACAAACAGTGCTCCTCATTTGGAGGTGAGGGAGTCTTACTTCTTTGGGAGAGGAGATGTTTTCCCAAAGCCCATTTGTGGCTCCTGGTGCTTACCTTAGCATTCCCTTGCACAATGAAGGCAGACTCCAAACCAGAGAGGATTTAACACTAGAGGAGATATAGTTTCTCTTAGACATTTTTGTAATGTGCTGGTGAGTTTTAAGTTTTTATTTTGGAATTGTAAGTTTGTCTAAAGTTGAGTAATTTTCCTTTCTGAATTCTTTTTCTCCTTCAATTAAAAAAATGCCCATGAAGACTCAAAAAACAAAACCAGCATTATATTTCAGGGGTCAGCACTTGGTAATACTGTGATCCTATGGGTCATGGGCTTTGTCTAGTTTTGAAAAGATTAAGACACTAAACTGCAAATGAGGTGATAACACATGCTTGTC